CCCCAAAACCCCAAAACCCCAAAACCCCAAAACCCCATTAAAGAATAAATTTATTGGACTATGAAAATTTGTAGTTATATGATTTTTTGATCCAATTATGACTCAAATCTCCATACTTCCCAGGTCCTACCCTTTCACGAATCTGCTTGTTGGTAAATCTAGAGGCTTCACTGTTATTATAGATCGGTTTTTCAAGTTTCTGTTTCTTGTTAAAGCCAACTTTAACAAAACCTGCTTCTAAGAGCTTTTTGTGGCTAACGACAACATCGACGTTATTTCTGAGGTTTTCAGAATTAAGAACTTTCCAAGTTTTAGCATCCATTCCTCGAATAGTGTCATGATAAGTACCTGGACCAGGTTGTTCTTCAACAGATTGATTCATTTTAAATCTTTTATCACTGCTCTTAAAAGGAGGAGCTGGTTTCATATGTCTGAATTGATAAGTAAGCGGGTATCTTTCTTCACTTTCTGATCCTAAATGCTTACAAAAGAAAGATACCATCTTCTTCACTATCTGTATAATCTCCAGAAGACTCATCAGTAATTTTGTTGGCATTGTTATTTATCTTACTCTTATTGAGCACGACTTTTGACACTAAAATAGATGAATAAATTACCTTTGCTTTCTTGAGACTTTTGCATTTTAGGGGCTTTAAAAGTGCTTGAAATTTCATATTGACCAGGACCAGGAGACCCTTTGTTCATCTCTTTATCTAAAAGTAGTGACAATGGGTCAACTCTGGGTTTATCTAACAAGCTCATAGCTTTAGCTTCTCTGGCTTTAAGTTTATTTTGATGAGCTTTCTCAACAATATTCTCGAATTGTCCTTTAATTTCATATTCTCCAGGAGCTGGATGAGTTGAACCCTCTAATTGTTGCTGAAGACGATTCTTGATCATTGGGTTTTGCATGACTGATTTACTATTTTTCTTATGGATAGTTTTAACCTTAATCTCGCTCTTCCTCGAAGACTTAGTCTTTTCCTTGGTCTTTGTGCTGTCAAAAGAGTTAGCTCTAAGTTGAGATAAGCTTTGTCTCTGCCTCATTTTAACTCTTTGCTCAAAACTAGGAGAGTATTCTTTGTGGACTACTGAGTAATTCTCTATCCTGTTTATCAGCTTCTTTGGGAGTGGTTTCCTAATCCTCTGTGTTTTCCCAGCATTACTCAGAGTTTCAGATTTCTGCTTCATATAGTGAAATTTCTTAGAGGCTGAGGAATAATCTGGAGAATTTCTAAATTTCTGTGAGAAATCCCATTGTCCATCTGCATAAGTATCCAGGTCATTAAATTTAGGATTCTTTTTATCATAAATATAGATGCTATTATCTACTCTAGTGACTTCAGTGGTACGTTCATCATCACTGCTTTCATAAGAGTCGTCAAAATTTGCTCAAATAGTCGGCCTCTTCATTGGAGTTCTTTTATGTAGAATCCTATCAACAGAATTATCTCTAGTTCTTCTTGCCTTTGGGAAGGTGATCCCTTGATATTTTCTCTTTATACTTTTGTTTAGATCATATGCACCAGGCCCCAGCTTGGCATTATCCCTAGGTCTATGAGTTAGAGTATGAACCTACATCATCTTCTTCCAACCAGCACCATGGGTATAGTAAGATTCTGTCTTCGCAGCATCTGATTTATTCAAAGGTTGACTATTTAAAGTCGCTTTGGATTCTTTTGTTTTATGTGAAAATTGTGACTGTAAGTCATCATCATCTCCTAGGGATAAGATCTAAATTACTAGTTTCTTTCTCAACCTTGCTTTCCAGGACTTCAATGTCTTTTAATATAGAATTGTTTCTATTTTCATAAGTCTTCCATTTTAAGATTGATAAATCATTCCTTTTACCAGTGTGAGATTGCTCTGGATCATAGCTTCCAGGTCCAATTTCTGTTTTAACCTGAATAAAAATTAGTTTATTAAGTATAAAGAATTGATTTAAGGAATTATTGTAGTTGGTCAAACTTAGTCTTACTATCTTCCTGTAGAATTCACTATTCTTGTTTATCTTCACTCCCTTGACTCCAGGGGTGTCTGATTCGTAACTTCCAGGAGCTGGCCCAGAATCTATCCTAAATACTTCAGCCCTCCTGGCTCCTTTGCCAAATGGCTGACATCGCTTCTTCAGCTTTTCGTCTTCAAGCAAGTAGTAGTGCTCAGAGTTCTTCAAAGGCACAACTGGCTTTGCCAGAGGGTTGCTTTCGTATGAGCCAGGCCCCACTTTGCCATTCTCCATGACGCCCTGAGACGTGAAGTCTTGCCTACCGACTTTGGACTTGAACTGAGCTGTGCCTGCAGCAGCGTTTCCACCTTTGATTCTGCGCAACTGCTCATTGATCTGGGTTCCGTTGAACCCGAGAAACTGGTCAGGATCAACATAGCCGGGTCCAACTGCTTCATAGCTTCGGTTATGAAGCTTAGGATTACATATCTTCCGTTCCTGCTCGTAGACAAAGGCCATGAATAAAATTCAATATATATTTATTTTCTTGGGGTTTTGGGGTTTTGGGGTTTTGGGG